TGCAGGCGAAGGCTGCTGCCCAGCAGGCCGAAGCCAAGCGCCAAGCCGAGGAGGCAGCGAAGCAGGCCGGTGGCGGCAATGATGCTGGCGGGGTTCCTTCTACTGGCCCAGCTGGTAACAATGCTGATGCGGACGACGGGTTCGACTGGGAGGACCCCGACTTGGGCGAGAGGCTCAAGGCAGCAGGCTTCCCCGACCTTGATCCATCGAAAATTGAGGACAGAGACAAGCTCAAGCGTTTTCAGGAGGCGCTGCTACCACCCAAGAGGCCGCGCTGTTCCTAACGTGCAACAGTGTGGGCTTCTGCGGGGGGGAACAAACGCATCCGGGACAACATTCGGTATCGCGAGCACGCGGGCTAGGACTTCTACCCACCTACATCAGGTGGGTCTATCTTCCCCACTGGCGCCCGATGCAGATCTCGAAAAACGTCGGTCAGGAACAACTGTGCTGGAGGACCTAGACATCGTCACGGCGAATGTTACGGCTTGGTCCAAGGCGCAAGATTTGTGTGCATGGTATGAGGAATCAGGGTCCGTGGTTACGACTCCAAGTGCATTTCTCTTTCAGGAGCACAGGCTCAAGCTGGACAAGCAGATTCAGACGGCTGGGCGGTGGGCGTCCAAGAATTTTTCAGGTGGTCAAGCAATGTTTGGCAAAGCGGATAGTACGGGTGCTGGTGTTCTTGAGTCGTCAGGTGGAGTTGCGATTGCAGCCTTCTTTCCCTTGTTGGCTCGGGAAGTGCCCCCTAACCTTCGGAAGGATTTGCCAGCGAGTCGGTGCAAAGTTGTGGCCATCAACACAGGTCTGGCGGTGCCAGTATACCTTGTCTCGGTGTATCTGACAACAAAGATTGGCCTGGCGGAGCCTAACATATCTTTCTTGGGTGGACTGATGCAATTGGTTTGCTGTCTTCCAGGGCCGTGGATCATCGGAGGCGACTGGAACATGGATCCATCGGACCTTTACGAATGGGCCAAGCGTGCTGGAGGTGTCCAAGCATACACAGCGGAGTTCACTTGTGGTAGTAGAACGCTGGACTTTTTCATCTGTTCGAAGGTTCTGGCGAACCTCGGGATGGTAGCGGATGTTGTGCTTGGTACTCCAATAGCTACTCACACACCGGTGGTGCTTAAGCTGCGAGGCCTCAATTCCAGAGCTATGGCGACTGTGGCGGACGGGCCAGAGGGGTTTCCCCTACAGCTGCCACCACCTTCTCGGCCTGCGCCTCGTGAAGTTGATGACGACGAATGGCTCTGGCTCGAGGGTACTCTACCAGCTGATGTTCAGCCTGCAGTGGAGTGCTGGTTTCGACATGCTGAAGACTATCTCTGTCATCTACATGATGTCTACGAGCGTCGGCGTGGACGAGCTGTGGGCCTTCGTGTCAAGCGTGTGCCGTTAGCAATCGAGTGGAGCCGTCAATTCAAGGCAAGATCGTCTGTGGAGTTCCGCCGCATGGCGTCGCTGGTGGCGGCAGTGAGGCGGGCAGCGCAGCAGCAGGCGTACATGGTTGAGCAAGGCTGGGAGCGGTTCTCTTGTCTCAATCGCCAGTTGCACACTATTGAAGGCTTCAGCATTGATGACGGCTGGTGGCCAGTTACTGGGACTTTGGTGGGAATGTCTGTAGCAAAAGTGGTCAAAGTGTTGCGCTCTGGCAACCTTTCTGCAACTTCATATATGATGGACGCCTTTGATGAACACTTGGTCATGCTGCGACAACGGGACACCTCAACAAACCAGAGTGAGTGGAAAAGTTGGGCATGCACGGCTGCGCTCGAGAAGGGAGGTCGGGAGGCTTTTGGTTTCGTGAGAGCATCGCATCAGGTTCAGCCATCTGTCTTTGAAGTGATTGATGAAGAGTCTGAGCAGCACATGCCCCTGGCTGGAGATCAAGCTATGACCAAGCTGATGCAGCAGTGGGGTCCACTCTGGAAACACGAGCGGCGACGGGACGAACATCATCCATACATTTGGCGTGGAGTGGAATTTGATGCGGCCACGTTGCCAAGGCTCACTTTGACGGACCTGCAGAGGGTTCTTGGCACCTACAGTGATCGAGCGGGGCTTGGATGGGATAACATGCATCCCAGGCAGCTTCGTTGGCTTCCTCCAAGTTATCAGCTCAAGTTCTTGGACATTTTGCATGCATGGGAGCGGGACCCTGTGGATGTCAGCTTGTTCCTGATGCTGATTTCGTTCTTGCCCAAACCACCACCTGGTGGAGGAGTTCGCCCCATAGTTCTGAACTGTCTCTGGCTGAGGCTTTGGAGCAGGCTTCGGCAGCCATTGGTCTCCAAGTGGGAACGGCAATTGGAAGGAGATTTCTACTGGGGAGGCCTGGGCAAAACATGTGACAGAGCAGGGCATGTTCACAACCTGTTGTCAGCATATTGTGTTCAAGTGGAAGGCATGGCTTCAGGCACTGCAGCCTTGGACCTCAGTAAGTACTATGAACATGTTTCGCATGAAGTATTGCTACGTGAAGCGAGAGCTACGAAATTTCCGCTGGGCTTGCTTCGTTCATTGTGCTGTGCATATCGACTGGATCGTAGAGCTCAGTACATGGGCGCATTGTCAATTGTGGTCAATGCAAATGGCACGATTGCGGCTGGCTGCAGTTGTGCGCTGGGACTTGCAAAATTGATGGTTCATACACTGTTGATGGAGCAAGTGCGTCGCTATCCCTTGGTGAGGGCGCAGTCTTTGGTGGACGATCAGATGTTGCAAGCTCTTGGGACACCTCGATTGGTCGGTGTTCAACTCCCAGCGGCTCTGCGATTCCTCGTTGAGGGCCTCGAGGAGAGGAAGCTGCAGGTCAACTGGGACAAGACGGGCTGGATCACGGGCGACACCGAGCTGGCGATGGTTCTCTCCGAGGCCTGGGACGGCGAGCTCGAGAGGGCCAGAGGACTTCGCTGCTTGGGAGGCGACGGCTCTCCTGGGGTTCTTCGAAGTGTCGTTGAACAAAACAAACGTCTCCTGAAGGCTCGTAAGTCGGCCGATAGAGTTCACACCCTAAGAGCTGCGGGCGCTTCGGTTGAGAAGGTCTTTCGGTGCTCTCCGACGGCCACGGCTGTCTGGGGTTCAGCGGTGACAGGAATTGCTGATGTGAAACTCCATGGCCTTAGGATTGCTGCGCTGAAATCCGAGGGCAGATTGCCAGCAGGAGCTAGTGTAGGCCTCAGAATTAAGACGATGTATCGAGGGTTCTGGAGGGACCCGCTTCTGATTCACACGGGGGAAGTGGTCAAAGCCTGGACCGCTTGCCTGGAAACTTCGTTGCCGACCGAGGGGGTCCTGGAGGCTGTGCTCGAGGGGGGTCGTTCGATTCTCAGGCAGAAGTTTCCTTGGCGGAAGTGTGTGAATCCAGCACAGGCCCTTCACCTGGCCCTAGCGAGAGTAGGAGGAGGCATGGCCTCAGCCTCCAAGATGGTCGGACCTGGGTTTGAGCTCGACCTGAAGTTTTTCTCTCCTGGGCGTGCTGTTGAAGTTGCCAAAAGGATGGCTTCCACGGCGTCTGACATCATGGCGATGCGCAAACTTGGCGTCTGGGTTTCGGAAATCCACTGGGGCCCTCTGGACAAGGTCTTGCACGGCAGGGCCAGCAGGGAGATGTCTCAGCACGAGCGAAATGCTGTTCGGTCTCTGGTCTCGGGCACCCACTGGCCTCAGGCTAGGCTAGCTGCGCATAATAAGTCGGGGACCGACAAATGCTTGCTGTGTGGTAGTCGAGGCACGCTGTTTCATCGATGCTTTGATTGTCCCAGTGCTGCCGAGTTCAGACGGACAGACCTTCCCCCTAGCCTCCGAGAAGCTGCCTGGAGGGTTGCTCGTCGAGGAGAGGAGGAGGCGGAGCTTTTTTCCAGGTGTTTGTTTCCCTCCCCTGAGCGCTGCTTCGGGACGCCCGAGGCGGACGAGGAAAACTGGGTCCGATTCGTCGGGGCGGTGCCTGGCTGGCGCTGGGGAGGGCCGATCTTTGTGGATGGATCAGCCTTCCATACGAAATTCGGAGCCTGCCGCCGAGCAGGCTGGGCGGCTGTGATGGTCGACATGGCGGGTAATTTTGTCGCCTGCATGTATGGGGTGGTTCCTCGGGGGTGGGCCCCCGACCAGTGGGCTCGGGACGGGGAGGACTACGCGTTCCACATGCTTGCTAGGTTCTGTGAGCCACCGTGTGACGGGGACT